TAATCAAGTAGAGAAAGTAGAATTACTCCATCCTAGAATTCAAGCTGCAATGGCCAAGCTGTGTGCGGAACAACCCAGGGCGAGGTTCTCCATTACCCAGCAGTATGAACAGTTCAATGCAACAATATTCCTGTCTGTTTTGCACATCCTGCTTCATTTATGTATACAATCATGTAATTGCAAGGGAGTGGAGAGACCAGGCACTTAGGACTGAGGTGGCAGTGGACAGTTTTGCATGCAGAAAGCAGATTTCACATGAAGAGGAAAGCCTTTCTCAAGACATAGCATAGTCCAAGCTGTATTTAACTCAAAACTGAAGCTTCCCCTGAAGGACAGTAACAAACTGATCAAAAATAACTAAAAGAGAGTCCCATTAGGGGAGGCTAAAAGAACAGAATCTACTCAGATTGAAATAAATAAATAAATAAATAAATAAATAAATAAATAAATAAATAAAGGGAACCCAACAAATGCCTACAAATTCCTAAATAGGCTGTTACAAACTGCACAGGGATTAATTTCCCTTCTTAGTCAACAAGACAATAAGGAATAAGGGACTGCAGCAGAGGCTGATTACTAAATACCAAATGACTCTGTGTGTAACATTTGGATTTGCATCTGCTGCTGAAAGTTCCCAAGATTGAGCGGTCTTCGAAAATGGATGCTGGTGTCTCCACAAGCAAGCACGCAGCCAAGGATGGCTGATCACACATTAAGAAGGGCCTTGAAAATAATTTCTCCAATACATAGGAAAAATTATGTGTAGAAGTAACTGTGAAGCTCAAATAATTCTGTGATCTGACTGTGTATAAGACAAAGCCACCTAGCAGTTATAGTGGAACAAAGCAAACCTGGGAAGGTTGTGGCAGTGTATGAGATAAAATCCTACAAGTACTTAGCTCTCTCCTCAACAAAGATCATTCTTTCAGGATAAAGCAAACAAGTTTGCTTTGCAAAGATTTGCATCCTATACAACGTACTCGTTTTATATAAAAAATTGTCTCCATGTAAGTAATTATCTACCTGACACCACAGCAGTGTCCAACTGTTTTTCCCTAACATTTTTCTTTCACATTTCAAAAGAAGTCAATCTATTCACACCTCTTATCTGCTGAATGAGAGAGGAGATTGGAAAATGTATTGATCTCATTGATGTCAAGTCCTTCTAGGGAATACAAGTTCATTGCTTTCCTGTCTCTGATTATCTCTTTGTGAGTTTTTGAATCAGGTTGGGAAATATTACTCCATGAGAGAGGAGACAGGCTTGACTACAAATGTGAAAGTTGAAGGAGACATGAAGGAAAGCATGAAGAAGGAAACAAGAAACTGAAGGTAAAAACTGAAAAGCTACTTCAGTGGAGTAAGAGTCCAGGGCAGCAAGTCATACAGCTTTCTAGTTTTTAAACATGCAAGTTTAACCTTGAAAAGTGTGGTATAAGACAAACATGAGTTTCATGACATTAATAGTTTTATTTTCCAGGGCAACATGCTGAAACATGCTAAGCTCCCATCACTTAAACCAATGAAATTGCTTCACTGACAAAACATTTCCAGCTAAGTAAGTCAGGCCAGAGCCTTATCTGTTCTGCTGAGTTTCAGGTCAAGGTATAAATTTCAGGTATAATTAAGGAGAGAGCAAAGAAAACACCTTACATCAACATGTATGTCCTTGGAAGACCAGCACAACAGACAGAAAGGCCCTGAACAGCCATCTATCTATCTAGTCTTCATGTACATATGACTGCAAGTGGAACATCTACACAGTATCATGAAGATTTAACAAAGTAGAAGGTGAGAACTTGACCTTCTGAAATTAATTGGAAATTGGCCATTCAACTCAGCAGGATCAGAACCAGAACTTGGTATCTCCACTGAATTTCTGAGGAGCTAAAAACCTAACAGTCAGCTCAAACTTTGAATGTTTAGCACTTTTAAAAATAATCCATTAGCTTATATCATTAAGTTTAAGGAATGACTTCTGAAAAGCCTCAGCTATTAACTTCAGACACAAAATTGTCTGAACTGCAGACAATCCTTTCTTATTCCGAATTTCTCTAGAATGCAGTTGGAGAGTGGAGATGCTAAGTCTGTATTTCTTATTTTCATTAAGTGTATCTCCTAATAAAGCAAGTTCAATTTCTATGACCTCACTGTAGATACAAGGGATCTTTCAAAAATATTATCAGCTTGAGAAGAGAACAGCCTATCTCTGCCCTCTTGAGAGGCAGCCTCCAGTGGGTCATAAACCCCAAATCCACTTGGCAGAAAAATGCAAGGGTTTGGAAGTGGAGTTATATATGAGTCAGGTTTCACTAAGGAAATGAAGACTTGCACATAGTTTAAGAATGCATATTTATATCCTGTACTACTAACTACTTCTTTTTATTCACTCTCAAATTGAAATTTTGCACCTCTTCTATTCTTTACCATCTAGAAGTACTATTTCTATTTATCTGGATAGCTTAAGCTGGAATTCCCTTTACATGGACTATAAACCCTCCTGTATAAAACATATCACAAACAGTTTGAAACATCCACACATGGAATTGCAGTGTGAATGCATAGATATAGTTTCTACATATGAATATTAAACCCACAGTACTTCTCACAAGTGTGCCCTGTATTAACTTTCCAATTAACATTTGCCCCCATTTCCTCTTTGCTGAAAGAAATGCTCATCACATCTCAGATATCTACTCCATTGTACAGCAAATACTGGTCAGTGATGACTTCTATCTACTTCTATCATTATAAAGCAAAGAGGCAAAACCTGACATGGGACAGCAGTGCTCTTAGGATTGGTTACATCAGCTGAAGTGAGTGCGTCTGTCATTTCAGGTGCTCAGGTGTTTACTCAAACTTGGTACTTCACAGCCTTGAAGCATAGATGATATGGTGTTGGGTTTTTTTGTTTGTTTGTTTGTTGTATTATAATTTTCTACATTTACTAATTTTTCTAAATTTACTCCTCCTTGGTTACCAAAATTATGACTGAGGTGCTAAGTCTATTTTGTAGTGTTCTCTAGGAATAACTATGAACTGAAGATAGAAAATATTACTTCTGTTTCTAAAGCAAGAGTTCTGTCAAAGCCATAGCCTAAAAGTCTAACTATGCAGATGCCCCTAAAAATAATGATAATCAGTCTATATCAATTTCTGTTCTCAGTTTGCCATACTGTCTCATAAGGAAAAAGAACTCAGTAATTTGGTGAAAAAGCTGGCTGAATGTCAGACAAAAGCCAACAGCTATTATCCAGGTTGTTGCAGGGACACCATAAAAAAGTCAAGCCATCTGCAGCAGTGATGGTGGAAAACATTTAGCAATGAGTATATGCTTCTGATATTAGATAACTGATAACCGAGTTCTGAAAGATTCACATCGTCATACAAATGACACATAGAATCAAAACTGTGGGGATTGGTAAGATCTTTTGCAAAACGTGTCTTCAAAGAAAATTATGATAACTTGTGGTCAGCTTTTGCAATACTAAATGGCATGCACTGCCAAAGCTATTTCTGTGTTTATTTCTGATATCTTTTACTCTCTATTTCCCCTGAACTTCACATAAATCCTCTCAATTACACAAAGACAGATGGTGCTAGGATATTGGTGGAACGTGAACTTAATGTGATAAAAAGACAGGTATATTATATAAAAGCTATAGTTGAGCAGTAGAATAGTTTTGCCCAGTTCCTTCTGTTCTTCTTTATTATTTTATTAATTCATATTCTCTCTTCAAGTGAAGCCAATCTCTGTGTTCTGTGATTTGGACTCTCCTTGTGGTTTGATCTTTGCCCTTTATCTCAGGCATTCGAAGGAAGCTAGAGTCACAGTTCTAATCTAAATTTAAGAGGATAAGAGGACAACTGTTAGCCGTTCCACACAAAGAATATCTATTGCAGATAAGCTAAATCTTCAAAGTAAAATCTTGTAAACCCTAAACCAATGCTGGGTAGAATACAGCTTCAGGCTCTTGTTTAAGGGAGAAGCTAATGTTGATTAACGGTGCGAACCTGCTTCAGTCAGGCTTCAGTCCAGATTACCCTTTCATGTGTTTTGGGTCTTCTCAGGTTAAATTCCATCATGCACTGGAATTCCTACCATATTGGAGAACCAAGTGTCATAACATTCCAGCTGTCAAAAAATAGCCTAGGTTAGCCTTGTGCAGTCAGGAGTGAACTGTGTGTGAATTAAATGCCTGGAGCAGAAAGTATCTGTGCAAAAGTTGACTGCGAGAGCTGAATCTAATTGTGTTTATATCTGGTTTACAAATGCAGGCCAAATCTGATTTTAACTCCTGTAGCCTAATTGTGTTTCCACTGAATCCTCCAACATGTTAGGAATTACAAGGTAGAAACTAAAGGCATTGAAAGTTTCAGAGTTAAGGTAAAGGGAAAGATGAGATTTCATTTAAAATTCTACATTTAGATTAAAGATTATGATTTTTTTTGTTTGTTTGTTAAATATATAACCAAGATTTACACAAGTATCAAAGTTAGGAGAGAATAAAGAATTATTATTAGGATAAAAGTTATCATCAGGAGTCATGCTGGCATGAAGAAGGGTTTGTGAGACCTATGAGCAGATCAGCATAGTGCCTTTGTTGCGTTAATGCCATGGATATAACATCTAGTTCTATATTACAAATCTGGAGATGCATGAGATAGTAAGCCCACAAAAAGGGCCATTATATGACATTCTAGTCAACAAAGGTACACTGCAAATCTTCAGAGCAATAAGCCACAAGCCAGCTAGTAAGCCTTGTGCCATCTTTCAACATTATAACATCAGTTTAAAATCAGTATTTACATTTGATTTAACTGTATCATCTAAACCCTCACATTTCATCCATATTCTGAGTTAACTAAAGCTCTATACTAGCAACCAAGCCTTCACTATTAAGAACAAGCATAAAAAACAAAGCTCAAGCTAATGCCCAATGTTTCAAAACCGTGGAGAGCCTGGGCAGGCCTTTCAGTTATCATTTTCGGATACGTACCCAGTAGAGTACATCTGTCCATCCCTCCATTGTGATGCACTGAAACACTGTCAGCATGGCAAAAGCAAAATTGTCAAAGTTTGTAATGCCGTGCTTGGGTCCCTCCCAGCCTGCCTTGCACTCGGTTCCATTCTGGCACTGCCGCCCATGTGCAGACTGGGGTGCACAGGGAGATGGGTCATCTTCTGCAGGTGTATCTTAAGGAGAGGAGGGAGAGAACAGAGATGAAGAGAATTAATTGCTGTTTGACGTAGTGATAAGCAAGTGAAGGCTAGATGATTTTAACAAGTATATTTTGCAATGAATTTGATAGACTTCTCTTAAAATGCATGAGAAACTATTATTTTCAAAGGGCTTTTTTGTTGTGCTTCTCTTTCTTTTCTTAAGAAAAAAGAAAAAGAAAAAAAATGGCTAAGCTGTCAAATTTTACAGTCAAAACTAAAATACACTTTTAAAAATTGCTGTTGTTATTATTATTATTAAACATTTCTCCTCCTAGGAGAAAGAAATAACACCTTTCAATATGAGACGAAACATTACTTCAAGTCTTTAGGCTGCAAGTTATGACCAGCGCTTTCATCTGGCAGTCACTTGGCCATAGGGTTAACCTTGGAAGTGACCTGCATCACTTACTGTCACCTTCTTGAAGGAGGCTGAAACCTGCAGCAGACAGGCTTCAGTGCTCTGGAGATAGGACAGTATGCGTCTGGGAAATACTAAATTATAGCAGCAAGTCTCTGGAGCTCTGCTCTTTCAGAGTTTAAAAGCTATGTGGCATTTTATCAATAGCTCAGTAGAAGAAGCTCTATAAGACTCAAATGCTTGATTATCCATCCTTTATTCTGTACAAGTGTTTCCAAAGATCTGAGCACCCTTACATTACGTTTGCCTAAATGCTTGACTTTATGAAAAACATTACAGAACAAAGACTCTTATAGGCACAAAAAACTCCTGAAATAGAGTAATACACAGATTTCAGAGCCTTGTGCTGTATCTGTAACAGATGCAGGTATCTATGTTCAGGGGAGCAGGCAATTATGTTTGTTTCTTATTCTGTATGGCAAAGGTCCAAATTAAAGTGACCACTACTGTACTTAGAAGTGATTGACAGTTCTTCTTGGAGCTTTAACATACTGGCCAAAAATGGAGTGCTCAAGATGAAAATAAATGAAATTATTATAGAATCATAAAGGTTGGAAAAGACCTCTAAGGTCATCTAGTCCAACTGTCTAACTGCCACCAATGTTGCCTGCTAAACCATGTTCCTAAATACTACTTCTACCCTTTCTTTAAACACCTCCAGGTATGCTAACTCCCCCACCTCGTTGGGCATCCTGTTCTAATGCCTCACTGCTCTTTCAGAGAATAAGCTTTTCCTAATATCTAACCTGAACCTTCCTTGGCACAACTAGAGGCCATTCCCTCTCATCCTATTGCTATCACCTGAGATAAGCAGCAAACCCCCACCTTATCACAACCTCCTTTCATGGAGTCATAGAGGGCAACAAGGACTCCCCTGAGCCTCTTCTCCAAACTAAACGATCTCAGTTCCCTCAGCTCTTACTCATAAGACTTATGCTCCAGACACCTCACAGCTCTGCTGCTGTTCTCTGGAAATACGTTAGGGTCTCAATGTCTTTCTTGTAGTGAGGGGCCTGAAACTGAACACAGTACTCAAGATGTAGCCTTAGCAGAGCTAAGTACAGGGAGATGGTCACCTCCCTGCTCCTGCTGGCTGCGCTATTTCTGATACAAGCCAGGATGCCATTGGCCTTTGCCACCTGGGCACACTGCTGGCTCATGTTCAGCCAAGCATTGACCAACACCCCAGATCATTTTCCTGCAGGCAGCTTTCCAGTCAGTCTTCCCCAAGCCTGAAGCGTTGCATAGCATTGTCATGACTGAAGTGCAAGATCCAGCGCTTGTTCTCATTGAACTTCATCCTATTTGCCTCATCTCATTGAACTTCATCCTATTTGCCTCAGCCCAGCAATCCAGCCTGTCCAGATCCCTCTGTAGGGCCTTCCTACCTTCTGACAGATCAACACTTTCTCCCAGCTTGATGTAATCAGCAAACTTCTTGGCTGTGCACTCAATCCCCTCACCCAGATTATCAGTAAAGATTAAAATTAAATTAAATTAGGGATAGTGACTGATGTATTCAACCAATGGCTCTTGTGAAAAAGGATGTTTTTGTTCATCCCAGAGATTTCATTTTTCTGCAACAGTAGACTTGCAGCACCAAAACACTCTTTCTCCCGCTCTTTGAACTTCAGGATCCTAATAAGTGGTTGCTCAGTATTTGGCTGTTATTTTCACCAGCACATACGGACTGTCATATGGCTGCATGAAACTTCCCTCCTGTCAGAATGTGAACACACTGGTAGAAATCTTCACGTAAGAGACAGAAAACAAAGGAACAGGGCTACATGCCAACAAACATTCCTCTTACCTATCAGCCCCCCTTGCACATGGTAGCAGGTCTTATGCATCTTTCCCATGAATAATTCCAGTCCAATGATGGCATAGATAATGATGACAAACAGCACCAGCAGGGCAATATGCAACAAAGGGACCATGGCCTTGATAATTGAATTTAAAACCACCTGGAGACCTGCAGAGAGAGCAGAAGGAAGCACTCATGAGGAAGAGAACAAAATTTACAGAAAGCACCTATGAAAGGCTATAAATTGAACAATAATGTCATTTTTAATTCTTACCCCCTCACCTGAACTAATTACCTTGATAATATAAGCATCTTCCCTCCAGAAGATTCCAAGCATCTCAGCAGCTTACCACTAAAGGCTGAAGTAAGACAGGTATTGCCTGTCACTGAAATGCCATCACTCTGGAGAGGAATACATTAAGTGTTCTGGCTGTTCTTGAAAGTCAGGCCTAGGGTGTTTCCAAGATGGTATTTAGGAGTTAAAATTTGGGAAGATTGAAGAACAATCAGAACTGAAGCAAGACAAGAGCAGTGAGATATACAAGAGGATGAATGGTGGGGTGCCACAGAGCCACACCACAGAGAGACATGGGGAGACAGCAAACTGAGTTTGTGTCCGTGCTGCAATTCTGAGTTCTTTCAAAGGTGAGCCTGATACAAGCTGCACACTTGTGTTCTTCTCTGTCTCCTTTCGTACAACCAGGCAGCCTCTGAAGTGTTTAGTAAGAATTCAGAATTGCAAGGTCTTAAAGTTATCATCACTGGTGGCAGTGATGGCAACCACTGTCACTGGGAAGCTATGAATCTCAGAAATATTGAGAGACCTCTAGAACTCAATAGTCGACAAATAGCCAAATCAGAGCTCATGATTTTGCAATGACTGAGAGCCAGAAGCCATTAGTGTCTCCTGCAAATGCTGTCATCTCCTCAGAGAAGTTGGTATTAGCTGTGATTTTTGAAAAATATGATTCATGAGTTGGAAATGTCTGTGATACATCTGCCAAGAGAGTATGTGATAACAATTAACTTTGAAAATTTATCATCTAAGAACTTGGGTTCTCATTTTTATTATTTTTTCTTTCTTTCTTCCCTTCTTTCTTTCTTTTCTTTCTGTTTTCTTTTTCTTTTTTTTTTTCTTCAAATTTTAATACTTTCACTCAGAGGCAATCCACTCATCAATTCACAGCTAAGGCCTTGTGTTTGCTCGCCAGCTATGAGATGGGATGCAATAGATGCAATCAAGGGTGGCATCGGCTGCCAGGCTAGCAAGATCGCTCACTGCTCACAATCTAAAGTTGGCCACTAGCTTCTTCCAGTCAGAACAGTTCTTCAGGTATTTGCAGTCAGTTCACTTCCCCATCAATGGTTCATGCTAGCATCCAAAGGAGGCAAAATTCTATATATGAAATATGCCAGATTTCTTAAGGAGATCCTTACATGAAAGGAAATGCTGTCAGGTTCAAAAATAATCCTGGACAAGAATGGGATGCTCTGGTTGCTCAGTTTGCTCGGTTACCTTGAGGTACTTATTTGGATAGTTAATCTCAGCGGGAAAATAGCACTGTGATTACATGAGGCAATCAACTTGTTCTCTTAACTGCTTGCCTCATTCAGCCTATTAATTCTAAGTATATACACAAAGTAAATTACAGTCCACATTCAATGTCCCTCCAGTACTTTATAGCAGTAGAGAATCTGGTGTTCACTAGAAAATTAAAACAATGTCCTACTTTCCTCTAGACAATGGAAACAAGTACAAGGAAGTTAAAAGACTACATATGGTTATGAACCTTAAAAAAAACCATGAGGTAAAAAAAGACATGAGGTATTGAATACTGTCAGTATGAATTGAGGTATTTGCTGTGCAGTACATTGTTCAGGTAGGATGTTTTCAAATCCAGATAATTCCAGTAATTAGCAGACTTACATATGTTACCATGAAAGTAGGTTCTTAAGTTTAAAACCACTATCTCTGTAGCAGCTTTAGAAATCATAGAATGTGTTCTGAGACATATCAAATGCTACCCATAGAAGGATAAGGGACCATGCTCTATCCACACTTGTCAAGCTTATGGCTGCAATGCAGTAGCTGTCATTAAATTACATAATAATTCTCTGCCTCTTGCAACATGAATCGCTGTTGCAGAAGTGGCATGGGGAATGGGGCCTGGACAACCAGAGAGAACAGGGAGATGAAGGAATAAGAAAGCACCAGGGAAGACCTTTAGATAGGCAGAACAAACAGAGACACTTTCTTTTTATAAAAAAAAAAAAAAAACAAGTCAAAACTGTGTTCTGAAATTCAAGAGCCACAGATCAGTGTCTGAACTGAACCACAGATCTAAGGTGGATCAGATGCATTTCTGATCAAGGTAGATCAAGGTGAATCATCTTGCATGCAGTCAAAAAACCTTTTCTAAGCAATGGTGAGAACAGCCACACGTTTACATGCCCTTTCACTTCCTGTGCAGAGGAAGAAAAGACAGCTGAACTTAAAATGAAGTGAGTTCTCTGTCCCAGCTCACACATATTCTAGGCCTTTGCACACCATGACACAGATAGCATCCAATAAGGGTGCTCATGGCAATGCAAACCCCATTGCCTGATGCTCTCAGTAGTACACCGTAATACACCTTTTGCACTTTCTCCCTTACAGACCTAAAGCTGGCATTCATAGCAATGAGCTGTGCAGCTTGTAATTAAATCAGAATGCCTGGTGAACTGTTCAGACTCAAAATCTGGCCTTTGGATTCCATGTAGGTGATGTGAACAACCACCTTTTGGGTGGAGAGCTGCATTTTCACACTGCCTCACAAAGGCTGGCAGTGCTATTGCCAGCCAACTATAAACACATAGCTCCGAATTTATATCCTGGCAAGTAAATATAGAAAGAAATGTTTTTCAAATATCTGGCATTCTGCATTTACTTATTCATTTGTGGAAGCTCTCTGCATGTGCTAGACACTTTCCAGACATTGGAGAAGGCACAACATCTGCCCTGGGGAGCTTGCTCTGGGCTGGACAAAGAGATAACTGAGCAGAGGTTAGCAAAAGCACCACAAAAGGGATTGTTTGCCGTTTTTCAGCCCCTGCTTTTCTTCTGTTAATAATTGAAGATCTTAAACAGCTCTCAGTATTTATTTTAAAAGCATTACAGTTTACCTTTAAAAAACCCTCTTGGCTGTGTTCTGCTGGCTGACATTGACTCTATAAATGTTTTAGTAAGCCAAACATGTTAATTTCATTCCCTGGGCTCACAGAATTTAGCATTTATTTACCCTGATAAAACATTTTAAATATTTACTACATAGGAACAACACTGTTTTTTTATTCTGGGTCAAGCCCTTTTCAGGCCCTGGAGGACTGAGTCAACCCAAAGGTTTAGGGCACGGCTGGGGAGTAGGGAGGATGGGGAAGAGAGAAGGAAAAGACCTTGTACCCTTAACACAGCTCCTCCAAAGCTATGGGATATACACTGCTAGGGATGATGTAGGTGTTGCAGAGCAATTGTATGGTGCTGTATTTTTCTCACAGGAAGACATTCATGTGAGGGGCTGGTTGCTGTCTTTTCAATTCAGGCAATTATTGAAGAATGTACTTATCTGTAAGCATGAAGAATCTGCACCGAAAGCAATGGGATTACTTACACATCCCATTGTGTACTTACAAGGTTCTTTGGATTTCGACCAATGCTCAGCAAGATGGCACAAAAAAGAGCACTGGACCCAGCTGCTAAAAGGTACTTAGCATTGTTGCTTGGTGGAACGCATCCAGGGAAACTAATGGTAGGCTGCTCTCAGAAAAAACATTTGGGCCTTTCCAAGCACAACTACATCTCTCATTTCCACATGCCTTTCATTTTGAATCAAATTTGGTGTGCTGGAGAGAGTGGTTTCTTCTTCTAGTCATATAAGCTCTCCAGATCTTTAGGGAAAGCATATCCTGAGTTTGTTCCTTCTTTTGCTTCGTGGGGTTATATTTTGTCAACACCATCATATTGCCTGAATCACGAGATAAGCAGGCACAGTCTCATATAAATGACCTTTTGGAATGAGCGGGAACAAAAGGGGGAGGAGGGCTTTCAACCTCATCCATCCTTTCCACTGCTCCTGACAGACACACAGATTTTTGTGCTTGAGCCAGTGCCAAAGGCGTGGGAGGTAATTATGTTTCTGCTAATTTAGTTCAAAAGAAAACTACTACTTTCTGCAAGTAAGGAGGAAGCAGGGAAGGATCTGTGACTCAGCAGAGTGCCTGAGTCAGATCACTTCTGAGAACCACTCTGAGTGGTAAAGTGGCTGCACTGTCCCCAGCCATGAGCTCAGCTTACCCAAGTGTTGGGCGGTATGCTAAGAGATGGCCAGCACAGTTATCTCCATTTCCACAGCATAAGCTGTGTAACCAGAAACATTCCCCGAAGTGGATGATTATCATGTAATAACCATAAGCATTGGCTAAGAAAATTGAAAAAAAACATTAAATATTCATAAATATGAAATGTTTTGTACCAGTTTTGAAGGAAGCCTGGAAAATAACAGACATTTTAGCACAAAACAGTACACAGTCATGACAAGATATTCAAGGCAATTACATCTGAAACCATTTATGAGGGAAAACATTAAGATTTTCTTCACCAGTGTTGCAAAGGGAACTCAGATGGCGTGGTTCAGTTAAGGACTGATGTAAAGTAACAGTTCAAGGAGATATCCTTTCTTGTCTTGCTGGAGTCTCGAAATATTACAGGTAGATTCCTGGATAAGGCAAATTCTGTGGGTGTAGTGTAGTGTTGGGGCTGCAGATATTGTTTCTGTTTCAAGAATGATAGAGAAAGTCTTGGAACAGCAGGGAAAGTCATGACACAAGACAGGAAATCAGATGAAGTATTGGTAGCAAAGAAAAGCTATGAAAAAAAGAAAAGAGTGACCTCAAAGAAAGAGTGACCGTTTTTGAGTAGGTAATGCGATTTAAACGTATATGAATATGCAACTCAAAACCAAGTGCTAGAATGAATAGAAAAAGAAAGTTTTGGCATCTACTCCTAGTGTTCTCATTCCTCTGTTTTCAAACTATGTTTTCATTGACTTTTCAAGCTGAAATCCACACACACAAAATAAATACATATATAAATCCATAAAAATTCATACAAATGAGTATGTGTGCAAACACAA